GTCAACTGGTATTTTTCAAGTAGTCCAGTGTTATTACGTCAACTGGTATTTTTCAAGTAGTTCAGTGTTATTCCATCAACTGGTATTTTTCAAGTAGTCCAGTGTTATTACATGCCCTGTTGTTTTCTTATATCAGCCTTGTAACCCTTATTATGACATGATCTAACTATTCTTGTCCAACAGTTTGTCATTGTGTCCTATCTAATCTGTTGTTTTATCGAGCGAGCTTGTAATAAAGTACTGAGACGAAAACCTTTCAAGCTGATACAAGAAAAAATTCTATCTGAAGTTAAATTGACTGAAGAGCTAAAGACAGTTCTATGATTGTTGTTTTTATCTACATCAGAAACAATATATTTTGAATATTCATGGTGTTTAGTATCTGACGTAATTCTGTAAAACTAAATTTGTTAATTCTTCTTTATTTTTTTAGTGTTTGTGTACCTTTAGCTAAGATTTCATAGTATTCAGTTTCTCCTTTATCTCCTCGAGTTACGATGCACCAGCTTGACTAATATTACTTGGAATTGTGATACTAAGTGACTAACGAGCCCGATTAATCACAAGATATTAGCCTCCTGTTAAAGATTAAAGGCTCTAACGAGTTGTTGACATATATCTTCACCATACAGCTTATGAGAGTTGTTATAAATTCCAGAGAACGTCGCCGTGGCTGATGGAAAGATAACTTTGCCATGTAACATCACTCCTTCCATAATGGAAGACACCTTGGAACTGGCCTTGTGGTACAAAGATGACTCCGCTAAACCTATTTATAGCTTAGATGGAAGAACTGGAAATGTACGCCAAGCACGGCACTCTTCCTCCAAATCTCTGTCGGGCAGAGCCTACTTCAGTACGGTGGACAGACCAGCTGTCCTCGTCATAGATCCTGTCATACCCGAAGACGAGGGAAGTTACAGATGCCGAGTGGATTTCCATCGAGAGCGAACGAGACATTTTGAGCTGTACGTCATGGTTATTGGTAAGACTAGTTTTTTTCATGTAGGTGCTGAATTGTTAGCTTAGATGATACACAAGAGATTTCTGTGTAGTCTTTCTTAGTTTTAAAATGGGATGAAACCTACAAATTAATCATTCATGACCATTTTTCTTACGAACTCTGAAGTCTTCTGTAAACTTATGAATGTACATTTAATATAAAATATGGAACCAATTACAAAAGTTTTATATCCATACCAACTGACCCCTTTATCAGAATCTCATACTTATGTTGTAGCCATACCAACTGACCCCTTTATAAGAATCTCCTACCTCTGTTGTAGTCATGACAACTGACTGATTTCGTCAAAATCTTCTACTTCTGTTCTAGCAATTCCGACTGACATCTTCATGATAATTTCAAATTTTGTTTTCCAGTGCCTCCTACAGAAATTGTAATAAAGAACCAGAAAGGAGAGATCTTAGAAAACGTAATTGGCCCATTAAACGAAGGAGAAACGTGCCTATTAATATGTGAGGTGACTGGAGGTAAGTTAATAGAAGTTTAACGTTAACAGAATGGTTCCACTTCAGTAACAGTAGACATACCTTGAACGTAATTGTTGAAAACAGTGTTCCACTTCAGTAACAGTAGACATACCTTGAACGTCATTGTTGAAAACAGTGTTCCACTTCAGTAACAGTAGACAAATACCTTCAACGTAATTGTTTAAAACAGTGTTCCACTTCAGTAACAGTAGACCAATACCTTCAACGTAATTGTTGAAAACAGTATTCCACTTCAGTAACAATAGACACATACCTTCAACGTAATTGTTGAAAAAGTATTCCACTTCAGTAACAATAGACACATACCTTCAACGTAATTGTTGAAAACAGTATTCCACTTCAGTAACAATAGACACATACCTTCAACGTAATTGTTGAAAACAGTATTCCACTTCAGTAACAATAGACACATACCTTCAACGTAATTGTTGAAAACAGTATTCCACTTCA